TTACTCTGTCCCGTGCATTCGCACTGCAAGGCCTCTCAGAAGCAGGTGGGACACTGGGTCTCTGACTGAAACCTGCTCCTGTGCGTGATGAGAATCACAGGCCTGAACGCCAGTAGGAAAGTGTGTAACACCTTCCCTGACACGTTTACTTACTACTTAAAAAGCAAAAAGAACAGTTCACTTTACTTCCTATATCATTTGTATTAAAATTAGAAAGGTTAAGTTTTGTTAGCATAACTAGATGGATAAAGTAGATTGCCTTCCCACTTAGTTGTAACTGTAATTTTGGGTTATTTTTAAAAGAATGTGTATTTTATGTGATGAGCAGAGAAATATACCATCCACTGTTTCACTTCCCAGATGTCTGCAATGGGAAGAGCTGAACCAGGCTGGATCCGGGTGTAGGGAACTCAATCCTTATCTTCCAAGTGGGTGGCAGGCCCCACCCCACCTACTGGTACTGTCACCTGCTGACTCCAAGGTGTTCATGAGCAGGGAGTTGGGATCAGGAGTGCAGCCAGGTGTTAATCCCAAACTCAGCAGAAGAGGGTGAAGGCCTATCAAGTGCTGGGTGACTTGCTGCACCACACACGTGTCCATTGGGTTTGGAAGTGTGTGTGTGTTTCTGCTTCTGAAACCTTACAGTTCACCACTGTCACTTACCTCTGTTTTTTCTGTGTTGCTCCAATTCCTATAGATCTGAACTGCATTCTCTGCCAATTGAGTACTTTATTTCCCACACATATTATACATGAGCTAAGAATGGCCAAAAAAAAAAAAAACGGTAAAGGTGTAATGTAATAGTCTCAGATCATGTGTGGAAACCCAGTTCCTATGCTGGTATTTGAAAATGGGCCGTTATTGGTAATAAGTGTTAAATGAGATTGTGAGAATGGGAGGATGGTATGCTCCTACAAAGGGAAACTGAGTACTTGCGCTCTCTCCCTCTCAGCGTGAGCCCACAGTGAGCTGGGGGCCGACCACAGGCCAGGAAGCCTCTGAATGCAGCCTTCCTCATTGACACCTGGATATCAGACTTGCAGCCTTCAGATGACCACAAGTAAGCTTCCATTGCTTATTCCATACAGTACGTGGTACTTAGCAGTGGCAGAGGTTTCAACAGCAGTTTATGTTCTGGTTGGTATTTGTTGGTTGTGAGCAAAGGAAGTGCTTGTTACAGAAGGAAAATGCATGGATTTAAAGGTTTCATAGCTATTTGTACCATGTCTAAACTGGATACAGCTTGAGGCACTAAGAAGGACAATGCATCAGTTGGAAAAGGAGCAACATGAATTCTGCTAGAACTGAAACAAAAATACCAGTATTGAATTATGGTGCATATCAGAGGGCTGATAAAGTTGGCTGCATGGGACTATCATTTGGGACCAGGTGAATTAATCAACCCATACTATCGGCTTCTGACCTCTAGCCACTGTTTGCTCTGGAAGTACTGTGGATTGAAAGAAGCATACTGACCCCTTTGTTGGCAGATAGTCATGAGATGGTTTCCTGGCTGAAGCAATGGGTATTGTAAAGCAGTGCTGTGATACCCTGATCCAGTTGCATCATGTCAATATGAGTCACAGGATCAAGGACTTGTCTATAAACAGGAGGCAGATTGGAAGCAGCCAATCACAGTGAAGCATCCCATTAAGAGTGGTAGAACACTGCTAATAGAAACCTATTTCCACTGCTCTACCAGCCGTGTGATGAAGACTAGTGCTAGAATCATGGCAGCTGAGAGGTAGAGGGATCACAGTGCAGCAAGAAGACTGAGATAGAAAATAATAGCCCATTTATTCCATTAGGCAGTTGATGCATCAAGCTTCTATGGCACATAGGTTAGTCAGCTTCCAGAGTGACTAGAGCTGGGCTGCTGTCCTTGAGATTCCTGGGGGAGGCTGGCTTCTTTTGGTTGATAACTTGCATCATGCAGCTGAGTCATGAGAGGCAGCTGACAGTTTTCCTCAGCTGTGTAGGGTCCAGGGCACCACCTTGATCACCTCAATTGCAGTAGATGTGGACAAAACAATAGTGAATGGACCTCCCCTAAAGGGATTTTAAGAACATTTTACTTTTACCCATACTACATCTCCTGACTTAAAGGGATGGGTGTCTGTGGTTTATAGGTAATTATTCTCTGAACCAGCGATTGATGGAAGATAGTGATGTGCCAAGGGCTGGCACCTGATGCCTCAGGATGAGGTCTCCTACTCATTTTAGATCTCCCCATATTCTCTTAATGATAGGTGGATGGCACCCAAGAAGAATTTCAAAAGCAGAGAGCCTTGTTTGCTTGGTAGGGCTAGCCCTGTTGCTTAACAGAGCAATAGCAGCAACAGCTGATCCTAGCCTATATGTCACTTCCCAGTGATTTCTTGGACCTGTCCATAATTGGGATCCAGAAGCATGAGATAATTTACCCTCGTAGAATCTGGGCCACTTTTGTATGCCTTCTCAGTGTGGGTTAGGAAAGCCTTCACCCAACCTGAGAAAGGGCATACAAAAACCAAGAGGTATATACAGTTCCAAACACAAAGGAGCTCAGTAGAGTCCGTGATGTTTCCAAATGGAGTTCATTCCACGCTTTGTGTCTGGGAACGATCAGGGTAGCTTGGGCCACTGGCAGGCATTGTTCACACATCACATATTCACGTACAGCTCAGAGTTGGGGGACATAAATGTGTCAGCCCAGTGTACATTCCAGGGCCCTCTGGCTGGGGTGAGAGCCCTGACTGAATTTATTGATGAAAATTGGACTAGAGACTCGGGGCTGTCACCTGGTTGACCTCAAATTTCTGTCATTCATCAGGGATGTTATTTCCACATGTGATCTAGAATCAGGATAACTCATGCTGGGAGTAGTTTGTGTCCCACTAGGACTGGGGAACAGGGCAGCTCTTGGGGTAGTTGTCTCTTTCGGTCCTCGATAGCCAGAAGAGCTGGAATTCTCAGTTGCTTCCACTGTTTTCCTGGACTGACATGTTGCCCTTCTTGTGGCCCTGACAATGTACAACAGCCACTGCCCCATGCAGTACCCAATGGCTTGAAGATTTCTTTTTCATGCCGAATGTGCCCCCTGGATTGATTAGTCTTTTTTCTTTGTGTAAGACCCCATGTCCTTGAAGTCGGCGTATGTGTTAACACAGATTCTCGCCATCAGTTGGAGACCTTGGGTCAGCACAGTGAGTTCCACCTTTTTGTGCTGAGGTTCCCTGCAGCTAGGAGTTTGGTCTCCAAAGTAGAATGCAGGGTCACTAACAAAGTATCCTGCAAGGCTTATGAGTATACCTTACATCTGGGTCCTTGAGAGGCTAGAAAATATCTTATTCCATGACTTTTATGTAGTCATGTGGTCTGGCACATCTGACTGTTTAGGCAACAGAGTGGCCAAATTTCAGTTCTGACTCTCTCCAGATGTATGTGAGGGTTTTCACACAGCATTCCTGACATTTGACCACTTCTGTATTAGCCAGGATTACACTCATATTCCATTAGGGTCAAGTCTCAGTGTGGCACTAAGATCAGTAGATCCTTCCCCATTGTAAGTTTGGCCTCCAATACTAGGAGGGATGTGGTAACAAGGTCTTGGAGCCAGAGTGGCCAGCCTTGAGAGACATAATCAGTTTGTTTAGAGAGCTATACCACTGGACAATGCTAAGATCCCAGCATCTGAGTTAGTACCTTAACTGTGATATCACTGTGTTCATGCACATACAGTTAGAAAGGCCTGTTTTTGTCCAGAAGACCCAGAGCTGGGGCACTGGTGGGAATTGATTGCACTGATGAAAAGAATGTGTATTTTGCACCTGTGAAATGAGATGGTCCATTTGGTCCTTTGTGTAGTGTCTTTGTGGATTTTTCTATTCAGTTCTTCTGTCCTTAGATGAAAGTGAGTGAGGTGTTGAGATCCTCTATTATTGAATTGGAGTCTTTGTCTTCATTAAGTCCATTAACATTTGTTTTAAATAACCAGGATTCCATACTTAGATGTTTCCCCACATGTTTTTGGGATCCCAGTTTGTACTTTGCAAAGTATAAAATACTGTCTTTGGCAGGTAGGTCCAACCCCTAGTTTTAATTCTGTCATTACTGGGTGCAGGTTTTTTGTTGTCTCCTCTTGGAGACTGCAGAGGTGCCGCTCTTCCCCTTGAGAAATCATGAGTCAGAATTTTGCTTTTGAGTTGCCCCAGGGTCAGGGCCACTTGGTCAATAAGTTATGTGGGTCTGCACTTTTCCCAGTGGTGCTGATCCATTAAGGTGACAGGACAATTAGGGAGGTATAAGTATTTGGGAATGACTTCCTGGCCCCCTAAATTGCATTGCCACAACAGTAAACTGGGGTAGCAAGCTCAGCTACCCATGCAGTAAAATGCATAGAATTGGAGAACATTTAGGGAAAAAGAACCTAGCATGGGAAAGCAAATACTACATGTTTTCTCATAGGTGGACACCCAAGAAAAAGTTGACCTGAACATATTGGGAAGGGCAGGAACAACAGTCAGGTTGGATAAAGAATGTAAACCACAACAAAGAAGGAAAAAGTCTTAGAATTCCACAGCAAAGCAGAATGAGCAGAGCTCATGGTAACCTGACACGTTTTATAAAGAACCAGAAGTGTGGCGCTGTAAAACGAGTAGGAAGTGGAAACTGTAGCTGCCGTGATTTGGTCAGCACTTGTACATATGCATGGATTCCACTTTTTACCACCAAAACAAACTTACCTTGTCATTTTCCATGGATGTCTTGAAGTAGCTTCACATTTATATAGAAGACTTAAATGATTTGAGGAAGGGGGATATAGGATAATAATTTATCACACATTTTCAAAATTTAGAAATAAATTCTGCTTATGGGTATTAGGATTATCATGGTTCTTCCGTTTCTGTCAGTTTGTTGGCCTTTGTTTCTAAGCCTTTTGAAAAGGAAATCTCTTTTAAATATTTTTATATTCAAGATCTGAAACTTGATTTGTCACTTTCAACTAGTTAATGTAAAATCAAAGGAAACAAATTGATTAATAGAGCATAGTATTAAAATATGCAAATACACAATGATTCTGATTCCATGAAGACAGTCAATCCATTAGGGAATGTTTGCAAGGGCTGTAATTATACTAACATTTTAATTCTCCCTTTTTAAATATCTATTGTGGAAGATAACTCTGATGGATATTACAGAAGGAATTTTGTATAAACTACACACGGAGGATTATAGTTGGTCTTGATGCTGCTATTTGAGGTGATGAGCCGTGACTTCCAGACTTCTTGGTGATGTGCCATATAATGGATTTGAGAAGGAATATACAGAACTCTAAAGAGAAGAAACACATTGACAGGGTAAGGACCATGGGCATTCTTTTAAATAAACACGTGCAGACTGCAGCAGGCTTCAGGTGGATTTCCACTAACGTAGCGGAGCTTCCCTGACGCCTGAACTGCTCACACGGCTGCAGCGTTCATGGCTTTCTGGGTCCTGTTGCCCACTGCCTCATCCTCACCTCTGGTACATTAGAGGAATGCAAGTAACCTTTGCTTTGGCTACCTTCTTCTGATGCTAAGTTAACTGCCCCAAGTAAACTTAGGTTAAAATCCTATTAAATGAACAATGTGGTTTTCGTGGGTTTTTGTTTGTTTGTTTGTGTTTGGCTAATAAGCAAGAGAAAACTAAAGGAGAGAAAATAAAATCTAGAGATTATTAGACACAATAGATACATGTATGAATTGGGATGCCTATATCTTATATGGGTGGATTAAACACTGAATATGCACGGGCACCAAAAAATGGCAAAATATTTAGTTTTGGGAAAATCCTTTAGAACTACAACTGGAAGCTTAACCACCAAAACCGTATCAGTGATTTGCTTTAAAAGCCCTCTGATGATTTGAGGGATTGAATGGCAGGGACGGGAAATAGGCTGACCAAGACAGATAATCTGAAAATGTTGTCTGATAGCTCTCTGGCAGCTTGTAATATTATTTTCTCAATTTTCATATTTTAAGAGTTCTATTTAAGAGTTAGGAACAGCATTTTGAAGAACTATATTTTCCAGTCAAAATATGAGGCAAACTGAATGCAGTAAAATGAATATAAAGTCACTTGTTTCTGAAACAACAGTAATCAAAATGACAAAGTCAAGAGATGTGCTAGGACGCCTTCCTCAGCACTGTTACTAGAAGGGAAAAAAGAAATGTGAAAAAGGAATTTTTCCTTTAGAGAAAAGAAAGATAATTCCTAGGGTTCAAATCATTGGTTACTCTGTCCGTGAATTTGCACTGCAAGGCCTCTCAGAAGCAGGTGGGACACTGGGTCTCTGACTGAAACCTGCCCTTGTGCGTGATGAGGATCACAGGCCTGAACGCCAGTAGGGAAGTGTGTAACACCTTCCCTGACACGTTCAGTTACTACTTAAAAAGCAAAAAGAACAGTTCACTTTACTTCCTATATCACTTCTATTAAAATTAGAAAGGTTAAGTTTTGTTAGCATAACTAGATGGATAAAGCAGATTGCCTTCCCACTAAGTTGTAACTGTAATTTTGGGTTATTTTTAAAAGAACGTGTATTTTATGTGATGAGCAGAGAAATATACCATCCACTGTTTCACTTCCCAGATGTCTGCAATGGGAGAAGCTGAACCAGGCTGGATCCGGGTGTAGGGAACTCAATCCTTATCTTCCAAGTGGGTGGTATGCCCCACCCCACCTACTGATACTGTCACCTGCTGACTCCAAGGTGTTCATGAGCAGGGAGTTGGGATCAGGAGTGCAGCCAGGTGTTAATCCCAAACTCAGCAGAAGAGGGTGAAGGCCTATCAAGTGCTGGGTGACTTGCTGCACCACACACGTGTCCATTGGGTTTGGAAGTGTGTGTGTGTTTCTGCTTCTGAAACCTTACAGTTCACCACTGTCACTTACCTCTGTTTTTTCTGGGTTGCTCCAATTCCCATAGACTGGGTTGACAAATGCACAATTACCAGTTTTCTCAGTTTTCCTTAAATCACACAGAGAAGAAAAAAAAATATTACATCCAACTGTACCATATTCACTTTTAGATTTTTATCTGGTAGTAACACTTGAGAGAGAGTTTCTGACTAGTACACTTACCTTTATGAAAGTATTACCACAAGTAGTCCTTTTTTAAGACTCAAAGCACATTCTTTAAAGCAAATGTAATTTAATTCGATTCAAATAAACCCATGTAAATAAGATGCTTTGGGTCATTTCAATATTGATTTCTTAAAATACTACTCAGCTATCAAAGTATGATGCTAAAAAGATTATAATATGAAACTGAATTCTAGTGGTAAAGAAAGGAAATCTTCAAGCTCTTTAAAATGCAAAGGTGCTTGTGCCCTCAATACTGGGCTGGTCCAGGCTGAAGCCAGGAGTCCAGATCTCCATCTGGGCTTCTCAAGGGGGTGACAGAAGCCCATGTATTTTGAACCATCTTCCACTGCCTTCCCGTACACATTAACAGGAAGTGTAATAGCCAGGACCCAAACAGATTCTCACTGTGCCATATTTTATTGACACTAGCTGTGCTTTTGTCAATCCATGCCATTAGTTATGTTGTGTTTTCTTGTCACCTGCTGAATTTCAATCCAGGAGCCCAAAGTTGAGTGAAAACAATATCTATTCACTAAATCCTTCCTGTCTCCCTCTGCATAATCTTAACCCGATAGTATAGAAGCTATTTTTTATATTCCCAGCACCAGCACGGAGACTGGCACATAACAAGGGCTTAATAAACGTCTACCTACAAATACACAAATGGGATGCACAGAGTTTGAGTTATGCAACACATTTATGAAAATAAGCTGGTCTAGGAAGGAATATTTTCATTCTATCCTTTAATTCATTAGTGAAGTTAAGATTCCAATCCAGTATTCAGGACAGATGGCAGTTGGCATCACTCAGTCTATACCTTGGACATATTCAGCCTTTACAACCTGAATTCTAAGACTTGGATGTGCTGTTGCAAATTTGCAGCTCCCAGCCATCTACTTTTCTCATCTGCTCTTGGAGTTGATGAGGTGTGTATCATGTGTGAAGTGTGAAGTAAACAATGCTGTGCCTTCTGAGGTTTTTCAGCTAATGGAGGTATAAGAAAAAGATTCTGGACAGATCGATTTGTGAAGTGTCTCATCTAATCCTGAGTTGCACCTTTTAGTACTTTTTACCACTAGCTCTTTCATGAAATTGTAATGGAAAGATAAATATAGGATACTGCTCAGTATAATTAAGGTATCCTAATAGCTGAAAGAAGACATGTTACATTACAACCAGGAAACATTTCAGCCCCAAAAGAATAAAGGTCAAGATCCCATTGAAATCATGCACTTTTAGAAATAGAAGAACTTTAAAATATAAATTAATTTCAAAAAATTCATGAAAACAAACACAGACAGTTCCCTGTCGTATTAATTATGACCCTAGCATGAAATAACTGAAATTCTCAAATTGCCTAATACGAGAAGTATTTGCCAGAGTGACGAATTCCAGAGGTGTGGCTGTAAACCATAGCCAATGGTACAAGTTGCCTTGGTGTCAACACCAGACCTGTTACCACCATAAGCTGAGAGGAAAGAGAAACAGGGCTCCGAGAGCAGGAGAAGACAGCTGTGGGGTGTGTAAGGATCTGCAGATGTATGCATCTCTTCAGGCAGCGAGTGCAGGAAGAAACCCTGCTGTAAACCCTTAGTTCACCTTCTCTTTCCTCTCTCAGATACTCCACCTCTGCCAAACAAAGTCAGATGACAAGGGAGTCTATTCATGCAAATCATAAAGGAGAGCCTCTGGATCCTCAGTTATGTTCATTCACCTGTCTGGCAACGAGGGTAGAAAGTGCATGTGAGAGCACGGAGGACAGACCTTGGCCATGTCTTCCCCATTTTAGAGCACCGTGAAGCCTCTCGGGTATACAAAGGCCTCAGCAATATCTCCACAACACGCCTTTCCCTTCCCTTGCTCTGCGGCTGTGTGCACTATCTTTTTAAGTTTTCTGGTTTTTGAAACACCATTCATTTTCCCCATATTTTTCTTCCTTCATATTTCAATAGAAATGCTGGTTCCCTTTATGCCCCTTTTATATTCCTCTGCAATGGTGACTCCTAGGATGCTTCACCTCCAAATTGTTCCCCTGCATACTTCTCACAACACCTTTAGTAGAGAACTCTGATTTCACCCCTCCCAAGGCAGTGATACAGAGTGGCATGTATTGAGAGAAATAAAATTGGACAGCATGAGAACAAGGCTTTTTGTTACTTGATTCCTCCCTTGAGGAGCTTTGCAGAACAAGAAAACACAAATGAGGATTAAGGGGAAAATGTCAGGATTCTCTTAGCAAGGAGAAGGAAGAGGACGTAGAGGAGAAGGGGAAGAACCATTTGTGAACCAATCTGGTTTTTACAGTAACATTTCAAAATGCATTTCCTAAATTTCTCTTTTCTTTCCCCAAATTAACTTGTCAGAGTTTGGTCACAAGATCCATGGGGACTGAGACTTGGGAGTTAGGTTTGAAACTCTGAAACTGTGGGCATACCTGTGTTTCTTGGGGGTAAATGCACACACGGTCTTTTGGAGACAGCAAAAGTTTTGCGAGCATTAAGAGACAACCCTGGCCACTGTGCTGGTAGAATTCCAGTTGCTCAGGCTAAGTGTTCATTCCTGAGATCTGCTGATACTCTATCTGCTAAAAGAACTGAATGCCTTGAGGCATAGAGTAAGCAAGGTTGCGATTGTTGCTAAGCATATTACTGGACCCAGATTTGGCCTGTCCAGGGACCTCAAACTTGACCAACAGCTGACTTCTGTCTTCAGAGATCAATGTTATCACATGGAGTGTTTGCAGTGGGGATGAGTTTTGTAGAGAGACTACACTATTGCAGGAATGCTTTATTTAGAGGCCAACCCACTCACTTAAGAATCTCAAATGACACCATCAGATGGCCTGTCCAGCCACTCATCTCTCTCAGATCTGCGCACAGCATGATCCTGGTTTGTGAGGCACTTAAGCAGCTTCCCAACATAATCTGAGGAGCAAATTTAAGCTTTTTTTCTTAAAAAATCAGGGATTATTATTAGACAGTTCCTGCTTCTGCCCAGAAGAATAAATCCATAGTGCAGTAACCTTACAATTACCTGAGGCTAATACAGGGTAAAAGGAAAACTTAGCAAAGGAAATGTTACATGAAACTATTTTACTAGTATATATTCCATTCAGAAACTAAAGGCATAACTTACCTTACTGGCGCTTTTCTTTTTGCAAGAAAACAGAAGATGGTGACCATAATATGGGTCATCAGGAAAGCTAATCCAATACCCAGAAGAGTCCATGTATCTGGAATTTCAAACCAGTGAAAAAGACAAATGTGCAGTGAAAAATGCTGAAGGCTCCAAAACCAAGAGTTCTTTTAGTCACAATACCACTTACTTTGCTCCGTATACATGAGGTCTACAGCAGGAGGGATGAACTTGATGTGGCACCGATTTCCTTTCCATCCTTTTCCACATCTGGATATGAGATAAAAATGTGATTGTGCAAGAAAATTGTGAGTGTATTATAGCAGAACTGCAATATGATAAGATGAAGTTCAATCAACAACCAGGTTACAGAAAAGTAGCAATTTTGATAAGAAATTAAAAACATGTGGGGCCAGCACAATGGCTCAACTAGCTAATGTACCTATATGCTGGTTTGTGCCCTGGCAGCTGTACTTCCCATCCAGCTCCCTGCCTGTGGCCTGTGAAAGCAGTCAAGGGCGGCCCAAAGCCTTGAGCACCTTCACCCACTTGGAATATCTGGAAGAAGCTCCTGGCTCCTGGCTTTGGATTGGCTCAGATCCAGCCATTGTGGCGATTGGGAAGTAAGCCAATGAATGGAAGATCAAGGTCTCTCCTTCCCTCTGTAAATCTGACCTTCCAATAAAAATAAATAAATCTTAAAATAATGTGTAACAAAAACTGAAAATTTTAATTTTTAAAACTGAAAAATTTAGGTTTTACTATTTTTGTATTACTATGTAAGATGATACCTTTTACAAACATTTACCCCCTTCTAGACTTCACAAATTAGAAACCTATTTTCCGCATTCTTTTCTTTTTCCAAAATGGACTTTTTTTCCAGAGTACAATATTATACTGTTCATCATCTATTTTCAACCCCAAAGCTAACATGTTTTCAATAGTGAGCAGATTTAAGTTCTCTTAGGTAACCAACAGAGCATGTTTAAATTATACATTAACAAAAATATAAGCTGATATATTTCTCATGTCATTGAGATAATCTTTCAAATGCTTATCCTTGGAATCAATTCATAATTTCACCTGATGAACCTGGAAGGAAAAAAAATAAGGAAATGGAAGAAAAGGGAAGGACATAAGAAGAGAAATAAAGATTCAAATCCCTGCCAGGTTTCCATTTCCTTTCTTTGTCTGATTTTTCATAATAATACCTGCAATACTAGGGGGAATGGTTTTCAGAAAGTTCAGAATTGGGGAGTTTACAACTCTAAGGGAAGTTAGGCTTATTTATAAGTAACATATGTTAGAATATCTTTGGCAATATGTATTTGCATGTGCATGTGACAGTATATACACATGCTTGCTTAGGAGAAATAGTCAGATACAACTTAGGGTGTGCTTGATTGAATTTCTTGCCAAGTTCATGGTAGGATAAAAATATAGCTGAAGGGAACTATTATCATAGTCTAGAAACCACATCAAATCTGTTAAAAGTTAAATTTTTTTAAATTTAAATAAATAAAATCTGTGTATGAGGCACTATGATTCTTTAGTACATATTTACTGTGTTTTTATCAGTCTCTCTTTTTTAAAATATGTATTTAATTAAAAGAGGTAGAGAGGAAGAAACAGATTTTCTTTCTGCTGGCTCACTCCCTAGTGGTTGTATGGCTAGGGCACTACCAGGAAGCAACCAGAAGCAGGAGCTTCCTCAGGGTTTCCCATAGGGAATGCTGGTACCCTGTACCCATTACACCAAAGTGCTGGCTCCTTGGGTCTCTTAATTTTGAAGATTTGTATATTCAAACGTAATTCTTTCAGAAAACAAACAAAACTTATGGGCTCAGAAAAGTCCACCAGAATGCCTTTATTTCTTCATTAAATGTTTTTTTTTATTTCAATTTGTTTCAATGTATCTGGATTATTAACGTTTGAGCAGTTGGTGTTTATTCTCAACCATGCTCACCATAACAGTCTTATCTCTGCGCCTGGCTTTTTTCTTGCAACAGTATATCATGGACTTTCAGATCACCTGTCTATACAAATGAGTTTATCAGCATAGAACCTTAATTTCCCTACCCTTTTTTGTCCTTTAGAGTTCTCATTAAAACAGTAATATCTTCAGCAAAATTATGCTTCAACGCTATAAAATGCTGAATATTAAAATGAAAATAGACACGAGACAGCTGAACAGTAATCTATAGCCATTTTAAGATGTATAGAACCCGGTTGTATATAAACTAAAATTGAAATGTCAATGAAGTAGTCACAGGATGTGATTAAGAACTTCCATTTTTTTTTAAAACATATTGTTTACTCAATACTATGTCAATTAATTCTATAACATTATAAATTGTTGCTGATGTTATGTTGGGGCTTTTAATTGATCAGGATGATACTCTGCTGGCTCTACCTTCAGACCAGAGAAGCCATTGAACTTATCTGGACAATAAGATGCTGGACTCTATGCTTGGTATATGCTTGCAATGAAAGAATCTCAACTGAATTTGAACTGTGGCAACCCACCATGGGGGGAGGGTTTGGGGAAGGGTGGGGGGAATCCCAGTACCTATAAAACTGTGTCACATAATGTAATGTAATTAATTTAAAAAGTAATATCATCATGCATGTTTAATGAATGTCAATCTTATATAGCGTACTGTGTTAGAAATATAGATATAAAAATAGACATGCTTGAAAATTTGTAGGATCACAAAATTACTGAAAAAAACATAAATCACACCTAAAAATAACTAAGATAAATAATACAGGGGCCAGTGCTGTGGCAATTGAGCCTGCATCTTATGTACTGGCATTCCATATGTGTTGCCTTTTGATTCCTGGCAATCCACTTCCCATCCAGCTCCCTGCTTATGTATATCAGAACACAGTGAAATATCCCAGGTCCTCTAATCCCTGCACCCGTGGGAGACTCAGAAGGAACTCCTGGCTTTTGTGGTCATTTGGGGAATGACCCAGCAGATGGAAGATTCTCCATTCCTCCTCCTTTCTCTATAGCTCTGCTAAAAATGGTAAAAAAAGAAATAATAATAATAATAATAATAATAATGAAATACTTGTTGCAAGAAGTTTCATTTTCTAGATTTAGAAAGTAAAAGCAAGCTAAAAATGAGCAACTTGACCTGAACACGTACAGAACATGTGACTTACTGAATTATATTTCTTCTGATGAGTGAAGTTTAGGTGTACACCATACTTCCATAGAATTGTGGACTTGACACATTAAATCCACTCAGGTCTTGACCAACAATCTAAGTACACCCCGTCATCATCCATTCTCCATCTCTAGAAACATCCTTACCCTAATTATTTTTCTTAAAAACACCTGTTACCACCAAAATGTTTTATGTGCATACATACACACAGTTACGTTGTAAATGCATATATATTTAAAATATATCTTAAGTATGATACCAATACTTATATGTGTATATGCACATATAAGCAAATGCCATTAATTATGAGTTACTATTTAAAATATGAAAATATGAATAAAACTAATTGTTTTGCAAGGATGCTAGAAATTATATGAAAAAGTAACATCGACAACAAGAATGCCAAGAAGTTCAGTACACATATGATACAGAAAAAGGCCTGACAGGTTACAGTGGACCACTTTGCTCAAAGTCTCAAGAAAGGTAATTATACTTTATACATTATTCCATAAAATATGCACCTGAGGAAAGAACCTCACAATATAATGTGCACAGAACAAAACTTGAAAGCAGTGTCATGTATAGATGTCCAGATGTTAAATAAATTACTAGGAAACTAAATATAAGAATATATTCTTGTGCTATAGGATCTATGAAACTGCCTCTTCCCTCAGTGTGTGGTTCTAGTCCATAAGAAAAAGGCAGATTAATGTATTAATTCTCAAGTGCAGTTTCCCTAACTTTCAAAACCTTATTCTGCCTCTAGAGTCTTATGCTACAAATCAGTGCAAATATTGACTAATCACATAACTTCTGTTAGTCTCTAAAATGAATCATGAATTTCCCATCAGTTCTGTGAATTCTGGCCCCTCCCAGATCACACAGACATGGGCTGATGCCCTAACAAGGCTTGGGGGAGGCATGTCTTCCATCATAGTGTGAAACCTAAGCCTCACACTTGTGATTAACTCAGAACTGCTGGAAGAGTGCTGATCCCTTTCTGTTAAATAAGCAAGAAAAAGGCCACAACTTTTTACTCTCTGCTGAATTCAAATGTTCTTAAGATGTTTATGCCGCAGTCACTGCAGGAAGCCTAAACAGCCCGTAAGTATTCAGGAGTCCGACCCCAGCACACACCAATACAAAATACATTTTTTTTCTTGCATCTAATTTTTACTACCTGATTTCCCTTCTGTATCAAGCTAGTTTCAGCTTCCGTTTTTGTGCTTATTTTGTATTTCCTGCATTCAACCACACTGGTAGTTTCTTTAGGAACTTCATTCCCAACTTCATTTTACTTTAAGCACATTGAATTTTAGCTGCTGGAATTGTGTCTCCCTGGGTAAAGCCTCCATCTGCATCCCACATGAGCACCAACTGCTGTCCACCCCCTGCTGCACAGCTGATGATAATGGCTTGGGAAAACCTGTAGAGGATGGCCCAAGTGTCTGCCCCTGCCACTTACATGAGACACCTGGACACGACTTCTGGCTTCAGTCCCACACAGCTATGGCCGTTGTGGCAGTCTGGGGAATATGCCAGCAAATGGAAGATACCTCTCTCTGTAGCCTTAACTTTCAAATAAATCTTTTTTAAAATAATGAATTTTAGATTAAAAAAAATTAGTTGTTTGCAATTCAGAGTAAGCAAAAACAAAGAAATTCAGTCATTTTAAAAATAAATAGTATATGTTACATATTCAGCCATTTTTACAAATATTATATGCTACATACATATTACCCACATATATCACAGATATGAGCTATTACATACATACATGTATATGTATATTGTATTTAGAGCAGGAAGAATGGTAAACTGCATTCTCTTATATGATAACTGCATTTGGTTAAGTGTGTTGTGGCATATAACTTAGTAATAAACATATTTAAAACTCCCTTTACCTAAACTTGGTTCAGTCTTGAGCATGAGAGTTGTTCGTGTCCACTGAGGGACCTGACAGGGAAACCCTGACCTCCGCCCAGGGGATGACAGTGCACAAGGAGGTGCTGATCAATCTGCCATTTCAGGAAAAATCACAAATGTCATCTGTTTCTGCAGGAGACAGCATATGCTAGACAGTGTATGGCCACATGTCCACGATGCCACTATGTTCATCATAATCCTGCATGTTAACAAATTGCTTAGTGAAAAGATAGTACTCATGATTATAGTTCCACTTGGATTTACCCATGGGGGCAGTGTTTGGATCTGGGATCATGTGTCAACAAAGATGCCTAAAACATTTTTCCATCCAGTGTCTTCTGGACATCTACAATCTGCCTAAATTGAGTCAAGATGACATAGAACACTGAATAGAGGAGTAACTAAGACAGAAAAGACACTCCCAACAAAGAAAAGTCCAGGAACAGATTGCTTCTCTGCTGAATTCTACCAAACCTTTCAAGAATCACAAGTTCTGGGCCTGGCACAGTAGCCTAGCGGCTAAAGTCCTCACCTTGAACACGCTGGGATCCCATATGGGCACTGGCTCTAATCCCGGCAGCCCTACTTCTCATCCAGCTCCCTGCCTTTGGCCTGGGAAAGCAAAGATGGCCCAAAGCCTTGGGACCCCATATTCGCATGGGGGACCCAGAAGAAGCTCCTGGCTTCGGATTGGCTCCTGACTTTGGATAGGTTCAGCTCCAGCTGTTGCAGCTGCTGGGGAGTGAACCAGAGGATGGAAGATCTTCCTCTCTGTCTCTCCTCCTCTCTGTATATCTGACTTTCCAATAAATAAATAAAGCTTTAAAAAAAAACTTATACATGAGCATGAACTGGAAACTAATTTGAAATTGTGCTTTTTAAACTGCTTATTTGTTTGCAAAGGAGGGAGGGAAGATTCATTAAGAGGAAGCATGGTATCCAAGACTCCAACGGGCACTCAGCTATTGCATTTATGCCTCTCTGGCAGTGAGTTAATCTCTGTGCCACAACACCCTGCCCTGGATATTAATTTAACTTATATTGGAAATAATTGACATTGTCATACCGTATCTTGTTAGGAAATCTCAGGTTTAAAAATAAGTAAGTGGGCAAGGATAAATGAAATAATGACTATTTCAATTTATTTGTGAAAGCAAATATTTAGGAATTAAAAGACAAATAGTAGAACATTGGTAGTGCTAAATTATGAGGGACCTGTCAATGAATACTGTGCATATTTCTAAAGAATGATACTGTAACATAAATTACTAACATCCAATGCTCTCTTACGTGCCAAACACTATCCAAAGTCTCTTACATGCATTAACCCCTTTATACCTAACAACCACCCCAAGAGAAAGGGGCTCTAATTTTCTTTATTTTACTAAAGAAGCAAGTAAAACACAGGAAGAATAAGGAATTTACTAAATACTACACTAACAGCAAAGGATTGACCTAGATTTATGTGTCCTAACATTGGAGAATAGCCATAATATTTTACAAAGAGAAAAAGGTGCAAAGCAATATATAAAGTCAGAGTTGTGTTTTTTAAAAAGAATGAAAACATGCCTATGTATGTAAAAGTGAAAAGGGAGCATAGATAGCTACATACAGATAGATGGATAAATAGGAAAACAAAGCAAATGAACAAACATAGGAGCATTTGGATATCACAGTTCTGCCTTTGGCATGACATACTACTATATGTTTCTGAAAATTTGATATGCATATATTTCTCTTGTAGATCACAATTTTGTTCCTGTATTTTCATTAATATAAAGATAACAAATTGTATGCATTGCAAACATATAGTTCCAAGGAGACAACCACACTTCTCTCAGCTCCTGCTCCCTCCCTCTGCTCTGCACATCAGTTCTGCAAAGACCTAATGTTAGTCCTCCCTATACTCACAGGGTTAATGTGCCGCTAATCATAAAGTTCAACAAGCAGAAGTTGCTAAAGTCACAGTCTTTGTGACTTTATTTGAATAGCACAAACATGATTTGTGTATGAAAAACCAACAGCATACTCAATGTATGAAAATCACATCAGGTTTGTATTTCCATCTCTTTAAACATTAATTTTTTTGGATAATAACTAAATATTTGGGGGGTACAGGAGGACATTTTAACACATGCTTATGGTTTGTAGTGAGCAAATGAGAATATTATTATTCTGATTTTTCTTCTTAAATTCATTTTTCTGAATTCTTTATCCCATCTTTCCCTCTATCAAAAGTTTCCCCATTTTAGACAAACACATTTAGTTCTTCAGCATCTGAATTTCATTTGTTAACATTTACTTCAATGTACAAGGATAGTTCCCAGGATGCAAAGCTCTTTGCTTGCTCAACTGAGAGCAAATCTCAAAGTTTAATGGCTCAACAGTCAAGGCTAAAAAGGACATAGTTGACTTCAAATGCCATCATTCACTCAGCTGGTACTCAGTGATATAGTTTATGTCATCACTCAATTTCAGAAGATTTCAGAAATTAATATTACATGTCCTATCTTCTTGTTGATTACTAGGTTATGATGGGGCCCAACACAATGGCTCAATTGGCTCATCTTCCCCTTGCAAGTACCAGATCCCAGATGGGTACCAGTTCATATCCCGGCTATGCACTTTCCATCCAGGTCCCTGGATGTGGCCTGAGAAAGTGGTGTAGGATAGCCCAAAGCCTTGGGACCTGGCACCATGTGGGAGACCTGGCGGAAACTCCTGGCTCCTAGTTTTGTATTGGCTCAGTTCCAGCTTGTTGTGACCACTTGGGGAGTGAACCAGTGGATGAAAGATCTTTCTCTCTGTTTCTTCTTCTCTCTGTAAATCTGCCTTTCCAATAATAAATAAATAAATCTTTTAAAAGTAATTTATGATAACCTAATTTCCATAAAAATTGGTATGAGCAAAAGCATAATTTTGCTGAGTGAAATCAGTTACATTATGATTCCAGCAGAAAAAACACTGAGAAACATATTAGTAATTTGTTTTCAAGAACGTGGAAGCAGTAGCTAAGTATATTGCATTGTAAAATTATTTTTATAAAGTTTTTGCTTTTCATTTTTTAGGAAAACTACTTTCCTAAAATATGTGTTTACTCAGAAGAATATAATGATGAAACCTATTAATCACTTCTCCGATTCTTATGTTGTTTTATTATGACTTGATTCTCAAACTTCAGTTTCCTAATGAACAGCACAGCATATTCATTAATATGTCAAATTAAAAACTCATAAAAGCAAATATAATGAAATACACATCATTTCCTTTGGAGTTTTTGCAACTTACTGCACAATTCCCTGAAGGGTGAAAAGAATAAAGTCCAGTGATCTTTAATACGCAATATAAATAATCCCCCCCAAAATACAATGGTTACTCTCATTTGTTCTTGCTTTGAATATGCAAATGCATTCTTTACTTGTACTTTAACTTTATTCATAGATATTACTGCAATAAGCTGAAACTGATTTTACTTATGAATTATTTCTATCCTTTGTTAGAAAAGATACAGAATTTCATATAAAAGCAGATGAAGGAAATAAAATCTACATTCATCTGAAATTGAATGCTTATTAGGAAAAATCCTTAATTTGATATATTAAAAGCTAATATTAAAATTTGGAAAACATATAAAATGTTGAAAATATGCAAAAATCAAATTGTCATACTCTTTTCCTAAAATACACTTTTTCTCTTATTCAGAAAGATAAATGTAACTACTGCCATTATCTTTTTTATCTTAATAACCACATTTTGATTGATGCCCTTGTAACAGTGTCAAGAAAAGTAAGCCAGTTGCAATAGATGTAATAAAAAAGATAGGTAGACCACACTTCTTACCGGCATGTAGGACCATTTTTCTCTACTACACAAGTTCCACCATTTCTGCAGTAATTTACTGGACAGTCTGAAAAGGAACACCGCAAAGAACACTGTGAATCATAAGCAGTACAGAAAAGAAGGATACAGTGCTGTCGTTACTACATTACAGCTAGTCTCTGGGAGTAAATGGCTTCCCAGATGCAATATTCTGCTAGATTACTTTTCTCTTCCCCCTAAATTTGCTCAGCGGCCCCTGTTGCCATGGCTGGGTTTCATGCCCTTCACTTGCCTCAGTGGGACACAGGAGATTGTCTGCTCCATTGGATTAGGTATAATTTGCTGCCCGAGGATGTGTGTGCAGGATCCATGTGTGGTTATATTCATTTTTGTTGTTGTTTACTGAAACATTTAGTTCTACACCACAGTCACCACATCATGGCAGACAACTGCTTTGCATGGTGGCCTTGTCTTGTTGAGAAAATCACTTGTGTGCATGTGTGTGTCCTACTGCTGCAAACATTCAGCATGACTTCTTTATCCCTTCCTTGCCCCTGGCCCGGCTCTTGTACTGCTCTGTCACCTCCTGTATCTAGTCTAACATACACATTTATTTTCAAAAGTAGCTTACTGAAAAGGAGCTAAACCCAGTGCCACTGCTGTGGAAGTAGTTAGCACTTTTACCTTCTCATTAAGCATTTACATTGCCTGTTTGCATCTTCACAATACAACCTTGATGCCTTATGGTCTGGCAGTTTCCACATTTACTTAAGAACCAAGCTTCTTCTGGATTCTTACATACCTGTGTCTTGAATGACATCATTCTTCCATTGATGGACTATCATAACTAATACTTCACCATCTTTAACTTTTTTAATTCAACAAGCTTATCCTGAACACTTATTAAATATCTGGTACTTGGGGAGCCACTAGAAATTTAATAACCAACCATTCAAGCACATAAGAATGGTAGTTAAGACTGTAGGCATGGGAATCCTGAGTCGGAATCTAAGCTTAACGCATTAGCTGTGTAATACAGGGTAAGGGGGTTAATGCCTCTGTGTCTCCAGTTCCTTCCTACAAAACAGAGGTAAACATAGCACCAATTTCATAGGATTATTGAGAATATAAGCATAATACCTGCATCAAGGTCAGTGTTAAATGAACATGACCTGCCAATAACCTATGCTTCCAATGGAGCATGCAAAAAATTATACAGTGCATAAAAATACCGTATGAAAAGTACCTGCCAGAATGGAAAGCATGGCTACATGAATGAAATGAGTGGGACTGGGGCAGGGGGGTGAGAGTTGTATATCTTTAGCAGGTAATCAAATGTGGTTGTAAAATCTTGGTGATTACATGGGAATCAAAGTTGATATTTCCAATTTCTGAAGGGCCCATGACTAGTTGGTGGATACATTCACTAAGTTGAGGGATTTATCAGAAATGAATGTTTTAAAATGTTTATTTTGATTTGCTTGAAGGAGTGATGAGAGAGAATTTACACGCTTTCATTTGGTGGTTCATTCCCCAAATACCCACAACAGCAAGGGCTGGGGTTCTGGAGGCAGGCGCCTGGAGTTTCATCTGTGTTTCCCACATGGCTGTTTAAGCCACCAGCACTTGAGTCATCACTGCTTCCTTCCAGAATGCTTTAACAGGATGCTGGATAGAAAGTAGAGGAGTTGGAACCCAAATTGGATCTCAAAAAATGAGGATGAGGGCATCCAGGTGGAGGCTTAATTTGCAACACCACAGTACTGTCCTCACGGAGGAAGATTTTTAAAGGGAAAGATGGTGCTTTTTGAAAAAGTGACTGAGCAGCTTCCCAAGTGGAAATGTCCAGTGGACAATAGAATTCCAGAGAAGTAAAAAGATAAATTTGAGCGTTTTCTTTACATCCCATCTATATTTGAAATATTATCATTTTTGGTTTTTCCTGCAATTATCTTGAGATCATTGTTTCAGGTGCCAGAGGATGTGCACTCTTTTATGTGGGATTTTAGCATGCCCTCTGTGATCAAATGTTGATTTTTTTCTGAAAGGCAAAGTTATAGAATGAGAGAGAAAGAAAGAGAGATAAGGTGTCCACAGCAGAGGGACTGGCCCAGGATGAAATCAGGAGCCAGAGACACTAGCCCATGTTGGTGACAGGAGCCCAAGCACGTGGGCCATTATCTGCTGCCTCCCAAGTGCATTACCAAAAAGCTAAATCGGAGTTGGAGGCAGGACTTAAGCACTGCTGCAGTACCTACCATTTAACTACAGCTTAGGGGTTTTTCCCAAAAACTTAATAACATTAGATTATACAGCATTCCTTTGTTGTAGAACCAGCTTTTACAGAAGAGATTACTAGATACTAATGATCTTAAATGACATCAAATTAAAACTACATGTTTGATTTTTATTTAGTGCACATCAGACAGAATAAGCATATTATGCTATGAATTTTGTGATAAAATTGCCAATTAATTGTCAGCATTATTATAGTCTCAGAACCAATATGGGAAATTCTGTTACCCCATGCCTGGAATCTCATATTTTAATATTCTTATCTGCAGGTAATGTTAGGGTCCAGTTTGAGTGCAAATGGAATACCTGAGCAGCTGGACTCATCAAGCTGGAAAGTCATGCAGTCAGCAAAGCCATCACAGCGCTGGTGAGCTGAGATGCAGCTGTTGGAGGAGACACACACCAGAGCTCCCTCGGAACAGCTCTTATTGGCTGAAACAAAGAATAATGCTTATGGTTGGTTTCTAATATGCCTTTTCCCCGATTAATTTACCATAATAAAACAGTAAGGGTTTATTTGGGTTATCCTTAATTTTTTTTCCTAGTTTAATATTTGAGAAGATAGTTCTTTCCGAAGGAAATTTCAACTCATTAACTTGAAAATTTCTTCCAAAAGTCTGCCAAGATAATCACTTCCCAAATGTACATAATTATGGGCCAAATTGTACTTTTTGTGTTTGGGGCAGGGAGAGTTGGCCCTTGGGTAGCAATAACAGCGGGTTAATAAAGAATATAGAGACCATAGGACCGGCTGCTTTTTCTTTTTAATAAATTGCTGCATCTCTTAGCAAGTGGCCCTGCTTAACTTTAGATTCATATAACTGTTCCCTCCTCCCATACCCTTTATTCTATGGGAAATAAAACCCTGTACTCTTACTGTACTTGTGGCTTCATTACATATGCTATTTCCTGGTAATCAATCCATTAGTAATAAATATATTCTCCTTTTAAACACCATCAGTTTGCCATTCATTTATTGCCAGGATAATGGCTAATAGAACACCATGAAATGATGAAACATGCTGGTGAACAGGTTTCTATATGACGAGCATCAAAGAAAAGAGGAACTAGAAAACCAATCTCTAAGCCAAAACCAGTAAGAGTTTCACTTTTTTAAGGCTAAAACCTTTAAACATCCGAAGACACTTTCATTCTTTACTCATTTTCCAATAGTTGTAATTCAATAAAGCACACTATTTTAAGTGAGAAACTACAATAACCTTAGATTTTTTTTCAAAGTTCCCCTCTATTAGTGATACCTGAAGATGCTTTTGATTACTCAAAAAAGTGACTATTAACGTAGTTTGTGGACCTCTGTCACTTCAATTGCCAAAAAAAAAAATTAGTACATCATAATAATAAACCAACAAGCAAAGAAATAACTAAAAAGTGGTATTACAGACTGCACTATGAATATATACTAGCTTTAAGATATGTGTAACTCCATCTCAATAGATATCCATCCCTCAATAGCTGGTGTAGGCTAGTTGTAATACAAATACGAAGCTGTAGCACAAATAGAAAGTGCTGAATGGAGGGCAAGCTGCTTGACATGCCTTGGCTCAAATCCTCATAGTCTTGTAAATTTAGGTAGTATTATCCTCAACACACGGATGAAGACATTGAGATTGGCAGCTAAAAGAACAGCCCTAAAATTCTACAACTAGTATGTTATGGGGAAGAGATTCAAGCTTAGATCCGTAGAATTTAATATTCCATGAACCCCTCAGGACATGACAGATGCTCTGGAGATTGTTCAGGTCCAGCTGCTAACAACGTATGTATTCATTTAAAACTAAATTTGTCTATAGTCCTTTCCTTGAGCTATGCACATGAATCTTAAAGTCAGAAGAAATCACAATTGTTCTTCAAAAATATTAAAAATTCTTAACAGCATTCTCTATATAAATTATCCAGGATAAAACAAAAAGGAAGTCAGGAAAGTTTAACAGAATGTGACCACTAAATGCTAAGCAAAAACCATGTGCTTTGCTTGATCATATCTCACTACTCTTAGGCAGCAATCTATGAACTTTGTTTTAGCTGCCATGTCCTCTCCATCATGTCAAAACAGCATTTCTCCCATGGTGCATGGAGTTTGGGATAATAACTCACGGCAGCTGGATTCATCTTCATTAAAGTGACAGTCGGGCACTCCATCACACAGCAGGAGGGATGGGATGCACTGGCCCCCAGAGCAAGGGAACTCCATTTCCCCACATTGCTGAGGAGGGGGGCCAGGAGAACAACCTATTTCATCAGATCCATCTGTGCAATCGTCGTGGCCATTACACTTCCTTGAGAGAGGGACACACTGAGGCGTGTAAATGCAAGAAAACTGCTCCACATCACAGGATGATGGCTGTAGCGTGACGGGACCTAGAACAGAGAGCAAGTCAGGTCAGCATTAAGAAAATACTTCCTCGGAGTTGGAATTATCACAGGTGATGTTAATCTCGAATAAGTATAAATCATTCTGAGTGTTTAAACTACCTTCCAATCAGAACTGTATGAGCCCTATGAAATGTGTAAGGAATATGCCTTATCCAGATTTACATAAGAAACAGCATTCTTATTTACAGTATGAGTAACATCAAAACTCTTTATTGAAATGAAAATATTTGAACCAAGGTGCCTTAAATGTGACCCCAGAATCACACTCTAATTAAGAGTAACATTTATTTTAAAAAATTGGACACTCTAAAAAGATACACAGTGGAATTTTTTTTAAAAAATCGATAGTATGTAAATCAACTGGTGGCTCCTGAAATCCTGGCCAAGAGGCACTGAGGTAAACTATACTCTGGTTTTATCACATTGCTTTGCTCTGAAATCCCAAATTACTGCTCAAATGCTGCAAGCCACCACATCTTAGGTGCAGATGCAATCATAGTCAAATGTAAGGTAGCATGTAAAAAGGAATCTTAAAGACAATCTTGTTCAAACAGATCAATTCATGGAATAGGTGAAGATACTAAGTTTGCAACATTTACATATCTAAAATCTAACCTTTACTATACTTTGATTACACAGAACTGTTTGAAGATTTGAGTCTGCATCCATGATTAAACATGAAACATGACCAGTCAAGGGAAAGTAAGGTAGGAGGAAAACGTACTTTCTAGTTTTGTATCTCACAAAAGGATGAAGATGATGATAATTTACTATATATATTTTTAAAACTCTAACAGAAGGAATTTTCAGTGTTTTTACCAGAAAAAAATAGTAAAAGTTTGAGATGTTTTTCCCCTTTATGGACCATTAAATAGTTTATACATGTATCAGATTACATAATATCCACCAAATATATACAACTTTTCTATTTCAATTAAAATATAAATTTTCAAAAATATGCTAAACAGAAAATGACCCAAGAATGTTGAAAACTGTCTTAACGTTTCTCAAGGTCAAGGACTGTATGTAAATACATAAGATTGCACTACTTTTGAGGAACATTATTATTGGAAGGGCTGTCACATTTACGCTTTGCCTCAGTACAAGTCATGCATTTGTCAGGATATTAACAGCAATTATCAGAACCAAATAGCAGTGGGAAGTCAATAACTGCTGCTTTACATATTTAAACTGGTTTTTTTTTCAGTTTATTTATTTAAAAGGCAGAGCAGAGCCAGGAATGGTAGCCTAGTGGCTAAAGTCCTTATCGTGCACACTCCAGAATCCCATATGGGCACCGGTTCAAATCCCGATTCACCGGTTCAAAGAGTCCCTGCTTTCCATCTAGCTCCCTGCTTGTGACCTCGGAAAGCAGTGGAGGATGCCCAAAGCCAGTGGCCAGGTCTCCCATGTAGGTGCAAGAGCCCAAGGATTTGAGCCATCCTCCAACTGTTTTCTCAGACCACAAGCAGGGAGCTGGATTGGACGTAGAATAGCCAGGACATGAACTGGTGCCCATAGGGGATGCCGGCACTGCAGGCAGAGGATTACAGTTTTTCAATGACTGAATTACCTATTTAGCGCTTCTCAAAATTTGCCACCATACTACTACAATTGTAGGAAAGAAGAGATTAGCTTTGGCTTGATGCCAAATGCCTGTCCCACCATGGGAACTTTTAAACAAGCCTCTGAAAGCAAGATTTTTAAATTAGGCATTTGGTAGTGACAAAGATAATGACCCCACTATACTTTAAAATGAAGAACAGGACCAGTGGTATGGCTCAGGGTGTCAATGTAAGCCTCCAGTGTGAGTGCTGTTTCAAGCCTCAGCTGCTCCTTTTCCCACTGAGCTCCCTGCTCTTGTACCTTGAGAATGACAAAAGGTGGCCCGAAAGCCACCCAAGTGGGAGATCTGGATGGTAGTCCAGGCTCCTGAACTCAGCCTGGCCCAGCCCTGATCATTGTGGCCATTCAGTTAATCTGGTTACTCTCTGTGTCTATAATTCTGCCTTTCCAATAAATAAGTTAATCTTTCTAAAAATGAATACCTTGCAAGAGAACAAGCAGCCTCACTTATGTGGAAGGATTCTAAAGCTACAGAATTCAGTTATATGGAGATTTCTCAGTAAAGGAGTTTGTGACAGTTGTTTTTGTTTTTGTTTTTTCCACAAGCACTCTATTGTGCACAGTTATAATGTGTTAATGTGAATAGTGCAGGGAAGGGGAAAAGTTAACATGGGGAGAGAAGACAGTTCCAAAGATAGCAGTGGCCTGAGAGCTCTTAAGTTACTATGAATCTTTAGGTATAAAGAAAATAGACAAGGAGGCCACATTGTTGAGCTAAATTTCTTCAGAGTTTATTAACTATCTCAGTTCAGAGTTTTTCTGTTGTCTGGAGGACGTGAAAACGTCATGACAAAGTTCATGGGCAGAAAAACTATCTCTGACTATCCACCATATTCAATAGATGGATAGGACTGGAGACAAAAAGTAGCAATTCTTCAGAATTCTCAGTCTACATTTGTAGATACTCTACCTGTTCCAGTTTTATGGAATAACCACTTACCTCCAGAAGCACATTCTGGAGTGAAAGAGATGTCATCCAGGGCAATTAAGATGCCCTCACTCCCACCTGTATCAGCTTCAAATGTCACTTTAAATGGACTGTTACTGGAGAGAGATACATGTTCATACATCCATCCAGTTCTTTCATTTCCAATCATTGACCATACTAGGATACTTAGTCCTGACTCCTCGATTGTATATACCTGAAAAAGCAGCAATCAGAAAATAGTTACCAATGACTCATGAATGAAAGAGTGAACTCTGTGGGGCTGCTTAACTCAGTGTCAATTATATTTTTAATCTGTAAAAACTGTGTTATAAAATAAACTTACACATGGTATTTTTTATTTAATAAGACTCTGCTTGATTTTATCTTACCAATTGCAGCATTCCTGCATAACCATCTAGAAAAACTGGAAGAGACACAAAGCTAGTCTTTACATTGTTTACATTATATCAAGGTTTTATTAAAAGATCATGCAAGTTGCTTTAGAAATTAAAAGAATGTACAGAAAACATTTAGCATTCTATCAGGAAATGCTCAGAATTAATATGGAAAAAAATAGAGTTTCGAGGCAAATAGATGGTCAGTGGAACCTTCATGTCATGAAATGACTATGAGTTTTTGGAGATTAGCCATGTCAAGGAAACAAAATCCTGTGTGATGGAATGTCAACAGTCAGCAACATTCCAAGCAAAAGGACTAGCAGATGCAACCAACCAGAAGTAAGATGGGAATGGAGATGTCTTTAAAATCCACAAAAATGCCCAGTTCTAATTTTTTAATAATAAAAATTAGGAGAAAAAGAATGTCATTTCCTAGAACTGTTCAAAAAGAATCTGTATTTAAGCAAGAAAAAATACTGAATTTTTCTGTATTCTCTTAAACTTCATAACCAAAAATAAATGTGTTTGAGAAGCAGAGAGATAGGCAGATAGAGGAACAGCTCCCATCCATTGGTTCACTCCCCAAATGCCTATGATAGAAGGATTGGGCTGAAAGCCAAAGCTGGGACCTTGGAGTTCACTTTGACACATGGGAGGTGGGAGGCCAACTACCTGAGCCAGCATGTGGCTTCCCGAAGTCTGTGATAGCAGGAAGCCAGAGTCAGGGGACAGTGCTGGGTCTCAAACTCAGGCTCTTGGATGTGGGACACAGACATCACAACTACTAAGACATATGCCTGTTTCCAATATGTGTATATATTGTGTGTGTGTGTGTGTGTATATATATATATACTTATATATAATGCACATATTGTGTATATATAGCTTATAAAATATATATAATATGCAATATATACACAATATACAATATATATTTATATTGAAAATATAGCTTGTAAAATGCCTCAGCGATTACTTATAAAGTACTAGAATTTACCCAGGAAAAATAAGACTCAAAGCAAAGAACATATAAATAATTTTACTCTATTACAATGGTATTTATTCCAATCAAGTTCCCTCCTACTTTCTCAGTTTGTTCTCAGTACTAAGAAATGTATTTAAAATTATACAATTCAGGGGTTGCTGCTGTGGCCCAGCAGACTAATCCTCTCCCTTGCAGTGTCTGTATTCCATTTGGGCACCAGTTCATGTCCCTGCTGTTCCACTTCTTTTCCAGCTCCCTATTTATGGCCTGGGAAGCCAAGGGATGACAGCCCAAGTCCTAAGAACCCCACACCCATGTGAAGACCCACAAGTGGCTCCTGGCTCCTGATTTCAGATCGGCTAAGTTCTGGTCATTGTTGACATTTGGGAAGTGAACCACAGATCATTCCCTCTTGTCTCTCACTCTCTCTGTAAAAAAACTACTTTTCCAATTAAAAAAAAAAAAACTTTGATAAATAAATAGAAAAAGTTTTACATGTATTTCATTTTTCATTTATAAAAATTACATATTGACTATTTTTATTTAAAAGTCAGATTTAAGAAAAGGAGAGAAAGAGAGAGGGGTTTTCCATCCACTGATCATTGCCTAAATGGCTGTAACGAAGCTAATTTGAAGCCAGCAGGCAGGAACCTCTTCTGGGTCTTTCACGTAGGTGCAGAGGCACAAAGACTTGAGCCCTCCAAATCCATAAGCAGGGAGCTGGACCAGAAATGGATCATCTAGGATGAAAATATTAGCTTACTTCATTTAGTTGAATAACCAATACCCAAATAGGATACAGACACTGCAAGGCAGAGCTTAGTCTGTTGACCCACCATACCAGTACCTCATTTACTAATGTAAATTGTTTTCATAATTCACTTTTTGTCTCTACATTGTCCATTAATTTCAGTGATTCCAGCATGCTCGTGGCAAGCTTATTTTCTAACTCTCTTCTCCTAAAATTTATTTTTCATTATATTTAAAAGGCAGAAAGACAAGCAGAGGTCTAAATCACTGTAGAAATGCCTATAATATCCAAGCTAAATCCAGAAGCCCAGAACTCAGTCTGGACATCCCCCAGGGTTGTGAAGGATCTATGTAATCGAGCCATCACACTCTGCTTTGCACAGCACGCATTAGCAGAAAGCAGGAACAGAGTCAGAACTCGAACTCAAGCACTGCCATAGGAGAGGAAGATGTCCCGAATTTAACCACTGCACCAAATGAATGTCCCTTTTTGCATTTTTTTCTTGTTCTGAGTCTTAAAACTCTATGCTTCTCCCTTCTGTACTACAAGCATTAGATTCTCCAATATATATCAACATACCTGATCTATTATTTGGCCCTACCACCAGCCCAAACTAATTCAGATCAACTTCACTAAAATTAGACAAGCTTATATAACATTTATATAAATTTGTATAAGTTTATACCTTTTTAAATATAGTATTTCATATCATCAATATGTAGAGTAGAAAAATTATATACTATGCCCCGTAGTTCTATTGCTATAGTACCAAAACTAGCAGAGTTATTTAAGAGTTCCATATAATAGTTTCATAGTATGACCACAGGAAACTCACTGAAGTATAAAGTTACTATACATATATATGTGTGCGTATACAGAAATAAGCATATTTCTTTTGATGAAATAATATTCATTTATCCTAATAGGTTCCTTTAATAATAACACACAGAAAAGACTTGTTAATAACATCTAAATATCCATTACTTTCAAGAACCATAATAGCTAATATCTTTAGGAAGTAAACTATTTAATATAATTTTTCTCTAATTTTATATTAAGCAAATTATATAGCAATAATAACTCAATGTTTGAAACACAGTTCCTTTTTTCAAAAGATTTATTTTATTTTTATTACAAAGTCAGATATACAGAGAGAAAGAGAGACAGAGAGACAGAGAGGATGACCGTTGTCTAATAACTCACTCCCCAAGTGACCACAATGGCCGGTGCTGTGCTGATCTGAATCCAGGAGCCAGGAACTTTCCTCCAGGTCTCCCTCGTGGGCGCAGGGTCCCAAGGCTTTGGGCCATCCTCGACTGCCTTCCCAGGCTACAAGCAGGAAACTAGACGGGAAGTGGAGCTGCCTAGATTAGAACCGGCACTCATATGCAATCCCGGCACATTCAAGGTGAGAACCTGAGCTACTAGACCACCACACCAGGCCCTGCTTGAAACACTTTTCTAAAAGTCAACTGTTGCAATAATATAGGGGGTAACAGAAGGTGAGAGAAGAAGGGAAATCCTGGAATCTATATAACTGTATCATGAAAAAATAAAAATGTTTAAAAATCAACTGTTAGGCTAACTTAGTGATATCTATTTTGGTTCTAAAAGTTGCCTGAACACATACCTAGTAACATAATAATGATCAACATATTTTATAAATAATTTTTAATTATCATAAAACAATGTAAACTTTGAATGCAGCAAAAACTTCATTATGATTTAATACCTTTGTATATTCTTTCAATCCATAGTTTTATGATGGGAAAGCAAATTAAAACCAAATAAGTGTTAATATAGAAAAGTGAAAATGTGATAAAAATTTCAATTGTAGGAGCAAAGCATGATAGCTGATGGCTGTGGTCCTCGCCTTGCATGCATTGGGATCTCATATGGGAGCTGGTTCGTGTCCCAGCTGCTCCACTTCCCTTCCAGCTCCCTGCTTGTTGTCTGGGAAAGCAGTCAAGGATGGCCCAAAGCCTTGGGGCCCTGCAATTGCATGGGAGACCCAGAAGAAGCTCCTGGCTCCTTGGCTGCTGGCTCCAGATTGTCTCAGTTCCAGCCATTATGGCCACTTGGGGAGTGAACCAGCAGACAGAAATCTGACTTTCAAATGAAAATAAATACATTTTTTAAAAAAACATCCAACTGAGGCCCTGCGCAGTAACCTAGTGGCTAAAGTCCTCGCCTTGCACACACCGGGATCCCATATAGGCACTGGTGGCCCAGTTTCTCACATAGCTCCCTGCTTATGCACTGGGAAAGCAGTTGAGAATGAGCCAAAGCTTTGGGACCCTGCACCTGTGTGGGAGACCTGGAAGAACTGTTGCTCCTGACTCCTGGCTCCTGGTTTCACATCTGCTCAGTTCTGGCCGCTGAGGTCACTTGGAGAGTGAATCAGAGGATGGAGGATCTTCCTCTCTGTCTCTCCTCCTCTCTGTATCTCTGACTTTCCAATAAAAGTAAAATCTTTTAAAAATTCAAACTTTTAAAAGACACTACAAATGTGGATAAGTGAATTAAGAGATGAATTTATTGTAGAGCCAATCTTAAATCTATGTATAGTTTTTCAAAATATTCGTCTTAAACAAACTTTGGAAAGTGCCTATTTTCATGGACTTTAAATTATTTTTATTGCCAAAATGAACTTATTTTTCCACACATCTGAATTATTTCCTAAGTTATACCAAAATAAGGAATCAAATAATTAATAGGCACTAATTCAAGATGTTTTCTGTAATATAATGCAATCTTTTAATTAAAACTCAACCTCAAAATTTGTTCATAATGAATGAAAAATTCGTTGAAATTTTTCATACAAAATTATAAACTCAGCAACCTATTTAAGACATTAGAGCTGCTTATGGGTGCTGCACTTTATTTTTGTTTGGTTTTTGATGGGAGCGGAAAAAAAAGTACTGAAACGTTTTGTAACTTTTTTTAACGTGCTGCTAGGTTTTTTGTTTTTTGTTTTTGTTTTTTGTTTTTGTTTTTTGTTTTGTCATACACCACATCAACAAAATGAAAAATAAAAAACATAATCATCTCAATAGATGTAGAGAATACATTTGATAAAAATCCAACACCACTTCATGCTAAAATTCCTAACCAAAACAGGCATATAAAGCACATTCTACAACACAATCGAAGCAATTTACCAAAAACATCCATACCAAATCATGCTAAACATAGAAAAACTGGAAACTTTCCCACAAGGAAGTCCACTTCAATCACTGCTATTCAACATAGAATTGGAAGTCCTTGCTAGAGCTATCAGACAGGGAAAAGAAATTCAAAATGGAAATGAAGAATTAAAATTATCCCTGTTTGCAGACAATATAATCATCATGCCTCATATTTCTTCATCATTATTAGAATATATGTGTAGAATCTGCCCCCAAATCTTTAATTATCTAATAATTTTTTAAACAGCAAGCACTTAACTGAGTTCAGATGGTAGTCATGAACGAGATTAAATACTGAGATGAAAATGAACAACAGTACCATGTGCTCAAGTTTCATTGCCCAGAAAGAAATTAATGAAATCAGTATTGATAGTTTAATTACAATACAAAGAAAATGTAAAATGTGGCTCAACATATGTCATAAACTACATCAGTACAATACAGAAGACAAACCTGTCTCTCTTTGTACCTTTAATACTCCCATACTCCCAGGATCGATCGTGTAGAACCAGAAGCGAACTGTACACATTCCATGACTTGCTGGGAAGAATCTGGAGGTAGTGATTCTTGCAGTAGATCCTTCCTTGGGGCTAGAAGAGTTGACATACAGGAAGTACTGACCACTACCTTGAAATAGATTTAGATAATTTTTTTAGTGCAATGATACATTTTATAGCATGGGATAGAAAGCATTTAAATTATGTACAGATATCATTTATTTTTAAACACACAAACAGAATTCATTTTCTTTTTGCAAGTTAGACCATAATATTTAATTCTTTAAAGCTGAAAAAAAAATTGTGACTATGACTACAAACATATGGTTCACAAAATTCACTTGGATTTATCATGCATGAAGTGACCAAATACTTATACTATGAGGCTGTCTTCTTTTTATCCTTATTTACCCAGATTTGGGTGTTTCAGGAAAAGATTTCTTATTTAGTCACAGAACAGATACAGAATGTATGCTGGGGACTGAATGATACTGAATCTTAGTGTCAGTCAGCTATGATTGGAAATTGAATGTGATTCAAGAGTCTTTATATTATTTAAGCCATTCCAAACCATTCCTTTATTCTTGCGGCATTTTAATGTGTAAGAATCAGTAACAGTGACCCCTTTTCTTTTGGCTATTAGTAATTTCTATAATCTTTGTCTTGCTTCACTTAACAAAGAGAAAGATTTTGCTTTTTTTCAAAACACTATTTTGGTTCCATTGATTTTCCTCTACAGATTTCATGCTTAATATCTGCTCTACTTGTTATTACAGCTCTCATTCTGCTTGCTTCGTATTTAAGTTGCTCTTCATTTACAGGTTCCTAAACCGGTAGTTTTAGTATGGATTTTAGGGTTTTTTCTATTTGGCATGCATATCTATTGCTATAATCCTTCTGTAAGCATCATCTTAGAGGAAACTAATTTTGATATTACATGTTCTTTTTAACTTGTTGAAAACATGCTAAATTTTTCTAGAGAGTACTTTGGCTTGCATCTCATATTGAAGTTCGTTTTTCCATCTGTTTTTGGTATTTCACAACTGCCCTTTGGTGGCTGGTTTCTAATCTTAATTCCACTGTTGGCTGAGTACATAATTTCTATGATCCTACATTTTTTAAAGTTTTTCTTTTATTCTATATTTTTAAACTTTGCTAGTGTGCATCTCATGTTCTATAACAAAGCTTACCTTGGTAACTCTGATGTGCGTTTATAAATGCTGGCATTCAATTGTTGGGTGAAGTGAACTGTGGATGACCGCTAGATCTGGTTGACTCATGTCAACTCATCAACTGATGTCAAGGCCTTCCTGATTTCTTGTTACTTGTTGACAGAGTGAGTGTCCCCACCAACCATTCTCCTGGATTCATCCATGAAGCCTTGAGGTACTTTCATTTCTCGCTGCATGTGTTTTGCTGTTCTGGTGTTAGGCACTTATATATTAAAGACTTTCATTTTCTTGGGGTGTCTATTTATACTTGATTGGTGAAGAAGTATTAGGAGCAAGGAAGACAATCTGCCATGTTCTTTTGATTAATGCTTTCTCCACCACTTTCATTCACTCTTGATCTCTTTTATTAAATGCATGCTTCTTATCAAAATATACAGTTGAGTCTTTCTGTTCCATTGCAATATTGCACTAATTGAAGAATTTGGACTAGTGCTTAAGATAATCAGTAATCTGGTTGAATTACTATCTAGCATTTTAGTTACTATTTTCAACTTGTTACACTTATGTTTTCTGTCTTCTGAATCTTTGAACATTTCATATGACTCTATTTTTATGCCTTCATATGACTCTATTTTTATGCAAGTTACATATGTAACTTGCCCAGTTACATATGTTGCTTATACTTTTTTGCAGTGGTTTACCCTGAACTTGAAATACATTAAAATTAAATAATATCATTCTTCTAATATTATATTGGTTCGTAGGTAGCATGGAAAGTGTATGACACAGTACTTTCAATGAATCCTAACCCTGTCTGCTAACATTGCTGGGTGTTTCTCTTCCCTAGGTAAGTTAAGTTCTGACAAAATATTTTTTATTCATAAAAATAAAACAAAGGATATTTCACAACAGTTGCCTAAAGCAGAATTTTTTTTCTATTGTTTGCTATGAAAACTTGAAGGTAAAAACTCATAAAAAGTACAACTTCCTGCAATTTTAATCTCAAACCTTCCTACGTTGCACCTACAGCCATCTGTCCACCAGTGGAGCATTTCTGCCCTGGTGTTGGTTCCTTTAGGTGTTTCTGTAGATGAGCTTCTGCTCCAGCCAGTTGAACTCCGCTAGATCTGCCTGCTTCTCCTGTTTCGCCCTATGAACTCAAGTCTCTAAGAGACCCGAGGAGAGTTGATTTTGTTTACTCACTTTTTTCTTATTACAATGCCTTCCAAGTTCCTGATATATTATATGGGAAACTGAAAATGACTTCCGTCTACCAAACATTCCTTGCAGAAAATACCTCACTTCACCTAAAAACCCTTATGAAGGTTGGAAAAGCAAAAACAACAAAAAAAACTTCTATCAAGGAAAAAATAATGCAGCAACATGACCTAAGAACTAGAAGAGTAGGAATAGAAGCAACTTGAAAACATTAGTAAACAGTCTTCTACGCTTATTTTTTTAAATATATGTGTCACTCAATACTGGAGTTAGGGACATTGAACACAGTTTCAACTAAAACACGGGAGAGATTTTTCTGTTTTACATTTTGTTTTGCAAGGATGGCATCTGTTTTATGATTTACAAAATAAGGACATCAGGCACACATAGCCAGATATATCCAGATCCCATCATTCAATTGTAGCAAAAACTATAGTTTATTCATGAAAAAACAAACTTTTGCTAAACCTAACTTCATTTTAAGCAGAAGTATCTAGGTTTTGTACTATCCTGCTGCCTTTTACAACTTGGGCATTTCCAATGTATTCAAACTGTACTTCATCATGACACTTTAAAACATTATCCTAGAGCCCAACGTGGTAGCCTAGCAGTTAAAGTCCTCACCTTGCACGTGCCAGGATCCTATATAGGCACTGGTTCTAATCCCAGGGTCCCCGCTTCTCATCCAGTTCCCTGCTTGTGCACTGGGAAAGCAGTTGAGGATGGCCCAAGGCCTTGGGACACTGCACCTGCGTGGGAGACCCAAAGAGGCTCCTGGCTCCTGACTTCAGATTGGTTCAGTTCTGGTCATTACGACCACTTGGGGAGTGAATTAATGGAAGCAAGATCTTCCTCTCTGTATATCTGACTTTCCAATATAATAAAATTATCCTAAGTAAGAAAACCTTATCAGGCCAGCACTGTGGTACAGTGGCACAGTACATTAAGTCAGAGTCTATGATCCCAGCATCCTATGTAACTGTCAGTTTGTATCCTGGCTACTCTACTTTCAATCCAGTTCCCTAATATTGATCTGGAAAAAGCAATACAATATAGCCCGAACGCTTGCTTGCATCCCTGCAACATACATGGCTGACCCAGCCGAAGCTTCTGCTTTGGCCAGGCTCAGTCCTGAGTAGCACAACCACCTGGGGAGTCAGTGGATGGAAGGCTCTCTAACTCTTTGAAATAAATAAACCTTAAAATAAAGCAGAACTATGGTATAATCCAATAAGGTATAATAACTACTTTTCTTGTATATTTAAGGCTTAATTGAAAGTATGAAACACTCACCCTATGTAGAATGCAAGAGGGGGTATCTTTAGTCTCAGCTATTACGCTTGTATAAGATTGTATTTTACAGCTCATTCTTAAACAATGTGACAGACAGGATGAGAACTAATCTGCTTCCCTCTCAAAAGCAGATTGTGTATATATCAGATTTGAAACAGCCTTCCCCGGTTTTAGCTCCACCTGAGCTCAAATGTAAAAAAGTTAGAGCAGACGGAAAAAGTGAATGTGCACTGACACAAACCTAATCACTTTTGTAGTTACCGAAAGAATTTTAATTTAAAACCTTGCATTTCAGAATAATTCCTCTGATCACATGGTGTTAGAATGTAAATAATCCAGATGATTTCTTCTTGTTTTAATGTATGTTGTCTATAAGACACGTTCTTTATTTATGTGTTTACTTATTGGATTCCCTCCTCCCTTTTTTTAATTTGTCATGATACAGTTCCATGGAATTATGGATTTCCCCTCCCATCCTCCCCATGCCAACCCCCTCTTTGATTTCCCTTATATTATAACATTCAACCACAATCACAGGTTCATTATTCTGCTATTTAAGTATATCATCACATGGCAGGTTGAATGATAAAAGTCCAGAAACTATTGTCAAGATATATTTAACAGTTTCATTGGAATTTCATCTTTTATTCAAGAGTAGAGATGTGTTGCATATTGCAATATATCTTTACTTCCCAGTATGTTAGCCTCCATTATACACTTCTTCTAGATGAATACCTGTACACACATTATATAGATAGATAGATCTTGTCATTTGAATGAAGGTTGCCTTACATAAAATGCCTTAATTCAGCGGTTTCCTTTAAATAATTTCAATTCTGTTTTCAAAAGGCCAGTTTGAAGTGTGTGCAGCAATCCGAATCAAGTGTAATCACATGTTCTCTCATTTACAATTTACAAGCTTCTTAATTAAGGGATAATAAACATAGCAGCTAAGACACTTCTTGAGATTCTGCAACCCATATCCTTGTCTGATTTGAAATCCTAGCTCTGCTTCTGATTTCAATTTCCTGCTAATGAAATTCCTGCCACTTGGGAGGCAGGAAGCAACAGTTCAAGTATTTGGCTTCCTGCTATCTACGTAGGAAACCCTGAGTTCTTCTCCCTGGCCCAGCCCCAACAACTTAAACATTTGGGGAATCACCTAGCAAATGGAATGAATGAATGAATCAATCAATCAATCAATCTCTCCCTCCCTCCAACCTCTCTCATTATGCCTTCTTTCAAATAATTAAAAATAATATATAACTCATTATAATACAATTTTATTGTTTCATCCCTAAAATCCATTTCTATATATATGTGTGTCTGTATACATATATACATATATATTAAATTCTCAAATTTTGAAAAAAGATTCAATATTACCACCACCTTTCCTTATTACACATTTTCCTTACTATCTAATTTCATTTAGTGATGATTAAAT